GTTTTATGAATAGTTTCATAGAAACACATTCCACATTTTAAGATGATCGAATTATATGATTAAGTTGGCGATTTGCGATATACCATGGTCTACACTTGACGGAACACGATATCCGAAAGAATGAGGTGACATGATTGAAACGCTCAATTTTAGAGGTTCATATAATTCCACTTCATCATTGATTGGGAGTCCTAGATACTGCTAGGTGTCACCTGATTGTAAGGAAGATAGATATCAAAAGTTAATATTACTTTACTGCCAATCGATAAATAAACCTAGAAATGTCGCATACATATGGATTCTAAGCTTGATGAGAATCACAGATTTTCTTATTAAAGAGTAATGAGGATATTAAAGTTTTGAAATTCCTAATTGATAATTAGTAGAATTGGTTAAAAGGATATTTTTGTAATTGGATAAATTAATTAATTGTTGTTAATTAGTTGAATTAATTAATTAAAAAATTAAGTCCAAATAAGGAGGCTTTATCAATGAATTAATAATTAACTGGACCAAATTGGGCTAGCACTAAAATGGGCCTAGGTTTAGTTATTAGATAATCCATCAGAAATAAACTAAACAGAAATAAAGATATTAAGGATTGTCTACTAATCTAATACTTGTGGCTATTTAGGGCATCTCCAACCCTCGCCATTTGGTGTAAAAACACAAATGGCGTGGATTGTTGCCAACCCAATTTGGCGCAGCACTTTAGCGCCACACCAAAATGGCGTGGCATGTAGCGGCATTATTTTTTTTTTCTTTTTTTAATTTTTTTTGGTTTTTTTTTTTTAAATTTTATTAAGTTAATTTGAGTATTAAATTTTACACCAAAAATGTAATAGCCACTTTCTACTCAATACTTATAATGAAATACATATAAAAATATATAAAGAAATTGGGCCCAAAATTTTCTTTTTATTAAATATATATTATATTCATTACAAAGATATACATTTTTACACAAAATATATAGTACAAAAGTCATCAAAACATAAGGATAGTGTAACCGCTTCTCCTCGAACGCCGACGTCCATCCGGCTGTGTGTCCTCACCTAGATCCTGCAAAACATAGGAAAACAACGGGGTGAGCACTAAACATGCTCAGTAAGTAAATCCTCTACTCATCTATCCCGTAACTCTCTCTCTTAATTTTTTCCTTACACTCCTCATCAATTTCTCTTTGGGTACTTCTCTCTCTCTTTCTCTTAGAACTCATTTCTAGTAACTCTCTTTAATAAGTCACGGCCCCATCTTACCGGGGGCACGGCGGGACTCGCTCTCCCACTTACGTGACCTCTACTCATTCTGCCGATCGGATTGGTTATGCATGGATTCGGAACCCTTGGCCACGTGAGTGTATAATCTCTCTCTGGGTACTCGGGTATAGCCTTCATCCGCATGCACTTCACGGGCTATACCACTTATCTATCTGATACTCATGCCGCTCTCTAATGCGGCGTACATGCGGGAATACTCTACCCATTACTCACGGGTTCCCCACGCACAACCTACTCTATTCTTTTTCTCTTAGTCTTAAAGTAGCTATACCCAATTCTTTACTATGTCTCAGCTACTTCTTAAGTGTATAAACAAAGGTGAGAGCTAGCTCATGCTCCCTAATGCACTAATGAAAGCCAACTACAAAATTTCCTCAAAACCGTCATTCTGCACAGGTCACACTAAAACGGCCATAACTTGCGTATACACCTCGGATTGCTATGGTTTTGGTCTCGTTTTAAAGCTTAGAAAACGGGCTATAACTTCTATGTTTGATCTCAGCCCAGTTCAATCCGTAAGATACCCAAAAATTACTAGAAAGTTACGGCAGTGACAGGGCAGATTTCATCTAGGTATTTCATCAACAAACTCTTGTGCATATAAACACTCTACTAAAATTACATCTACTTCATTCTCTAGCCATCCAAATGGGAGAAAACTCCCTCAAATAACCATAATCCCTGTGAGAAAAATCACTCCCAAATCTGTTTACACAACATCTCTCAAAACTTCATCTCAAATTCCATTTCTCATCAAACATCAAAAACACTTCTCATATTTATCATCCCAACTACTAGGAATAAGCACACATTCATCTCAATTTTCAGTAGGTAACACATAACATACATAGTTAAAATAAATCTCTACTCAAAGTTATTCAAAACTCAACTTGGTTGGATACTTACCTTGTCAAAAGATGACTTCTTTAGCACTTTTCCTTCCCTTTGTGTCTTGTCTCCTTCTAGAACTCAAAACCACAACAGAACACAAACAACCAAATAAGACTTCACTACAATATAAGAAAACTCACATCTAAGCAGAGATCCTTACCTTAGGATGCTTTAGATGAAATCTCTACTCAAAACCCCTCTTAATTCCCTTAAAAATCTTGGAAGATTGGATGGAAAAATTGAGAGAAAGTAGGCAAATGGAAGAGGCAGTGGAATAGATGGACTAAAGGGTTCTTCTACACTTAACCTTTTAGTTCATATTATAAGCATCATTTCCCATTTTGCCCTTGCCCTTCCTTGGAAATTCCATCTAAATCCTTTGATTCTTTTCAAATACACCCCCATCCAAACACAATCTTACTAAATTTCCTTTCATTTTACTCCCCACTTTTCCTACTATTAGGGGTAGAATGGTCATTGTGCCCCAAAAGAAGAATTCTCTAGAAAACTCAAGAAACTTTGTATAGGCTCGTCGCCACGGCAAAGCACTTTCCGTAAACAGGGCAGAATCTACCCGAGGGTGCAGCTCCTCCCTCGCCGCGGCGAAACTTCTTCTCGCCCCGGCGAAGATTGGATTTCCAAACTTCACCAAAATTCAACCAATTCAAGGCAACCATTCAACCAACTCAACATACAAACTCAATTGAAACTGAAATAGTAAACTTTTAACTAATACAGCAAATTTAAATACGTACCTCAAGTGGATATTACACAAAAATCACTCCAAATTTGATTATTTGTATTTAATTTAATTTGATTATTATTATTAATAATAAATCATAATAATGATATAATTCAAAAAATGATGAAAAATAAAAATAAACTTATTTCAATGTAAATATTAAATTACAATAACTCAAAATAAAAATTAACACTAATTTAAAAACACTAAAATAAAGAAAATGCAACATAAACTAAAATACATCTTTTTGAATAAGCCACAAATCTCAAAAGCTTGAATGGACAATCTTTTTGAATAAGCCACAATCTAAAAGCTTGAAGGCAATACATTTTTTTTTTTTTTTTTTTGGTATCATTTATATTATATGTAATGTTTTGTATATTAAATGTAATGTTTATTTTATTAAATAAATGCTTAATTTTATTAAATTAGATATTTTCAAATAAATTATTATTTAATAAAAATATCATTTCTAATATTTAATTAATATATACAAAAAAATTAGTGAAAAATTAATTGTTGATTATATAATAAAATAAAAAGAAAAAGATATCTAAGGAATATTTTTTGTATGTAATATGGTGTAATAGGTTAGAGATGGATAGTATTTTACACCAAAATTTGCACCAATTTGGTGCAATGGGTTGCAGATGGTCTTAAAGGAGGCTTAAGAGTTCATTATACATAAGATTAAAGAGAAAGAAAAATTATAAGAAAACTCAACCATCGATATTCTCTGCCATCCCAAAGAAGAAGTTGTTCTTGATTCCATTATAGGGGTTAATTCCATCGACGAGAGATTGTGCGTATCGATCTAGAGGTATCACACTTAGGGTACTTAGTGAGGATTCAACAAAGAGAAAGAAAATAGCAAAGGAGTCGATAGCCTTTTTTCTTCCTCTGTTTTGTATTTCAGTCTTGATTATTATAATATATTATATATATATATATATGTGTGTGTGTGTGTGTGTGTGTGTGTGTTGTGGTATATTTGTATTAAATCGTTATACTTGATCATAATGACAATTGGGAAGGAAGTTTTAAAATCGGGTAATGGAACGCTTCCGCTAAAGTTCCTTAACCCAGCAGTTTTTAAACATGGTCTAAGACTCAAGGTATATCTTAAACCACAAAAATACAAATTAAATATAAATTTTTTAAGATATTTGAGATTTTTTAAATGAATGAATTATAATAATAATTATTTTTATGAGCTTTAAGATGTATTCTCGAGGGCACATGTCCGCATGGATTATAAATTTATACCGTGTAATCCTTCTTACATAAACATCAAGTCATCTAATTCAACGTTTTATATTATTCTATTTTTATTAAATTAAATTTTAATTTAAAAAACTTATTAATTGAATAGACAAAAATACCCTTTATCTTTAACTCTAGCAAGTTACATTAGACATCATGGTTTTGTTCAACTTTAATTTTTGATAACAAATATTTTATCAAGCAATACTAAAATATAATTAAGTAATATTAATCCCAATCTTGACCTTAGATTACTATTAACTTGATCCAAAGGTACAATTAACACAATAAATTCATAATATTTACTGAGAATTAGTTGACCAAATAAGCAAAGATTAAAATTCTGTCCGGATCAAAACATTGGCTTGAGAGGAAGAAGATTGGATTGCAATAGCTTGAGCGAAAGATGATTAGATTATACAAAGACTTGAATGGGGCTCTTGGCTCAAGTCTTGGGTTAATATCTCCTTACGAGCACTTATAAAATCAATTATCATTGTTTTTGTTTTTAAAAGAGTATCGGATCCGACAAGGTTTAGACATATTTTTTACTTAAAAGTTCTTTATGAACCTACAAGAGTAAATGTTATTGTTTTTGTTTTAAAATCTTATTGGATTTGACGGGATCCAAGTTTCAAACTCGAGTTTACAAGTTTAGGAGAATTTCTGTAATATTAAAGAAAAATAGAAAATAAAATAACAAATTCCTAATATTTTTAAATTATCGATATTTGGGTATATTGGTAAATTCATTAGCTATTTTTGATTTATTTATTTTTTTCTATTTAATTTTTCTTTGAGTTTCAAGCCACTTGGACTTGACGACTTGTACCAAACTACCATGCCGTACAAGTCGTTAGAAATTCATTAGACTCAGAAAATTCGTGTCTTCTCTTCTCCGTAACAAAATCAGCTGAGGTTAGAGCGGAGTCAATGGAGGAGCCAAAGGTTGTACCTTTAAGTACAAGCACTACAGAGGCTCCCAAGGACCGCCCCGTTCGAGTTTATGCTGACGGCATCTACGATCTCTTTCACTTTGGCCATGCTGGCGCTCTGGAACAAGCCAAAAAGCTGTAAATTATCTCTTCTTTTCTTCTTTTTTGTTTGGTTCATGAGAAAACTTACACTTTTTCCTGGGAAGTTTTAGTTTTTACTCTACCCTTTTGTACTGTTAGTAAAACTTACTATTTCTAGAGCTGTAATTTTTTCTTTTTAATTTTCTTTTTCTTGTTTGTTTCATGAGAAACTTACACTTTTTTTTCGAGAAGTTTTTAATTTTTTGTTGTAACCTTTGATCCACCGACTAAAACCCAGAAATGAAATTGCTTGTAAGTTAATCTTTGTAATTTTTAGAATTTTATTTTCTTCTTTGTTTGATGAGAAACTTAGACTTTTCCCGGAAAGTTATATTTTTTTCGTTTCACCCTTTGGTGCAGTTAGTGAAACCCAGAAAGGAAATTACTCTCTCTATAGCTGCAATTAAAAAAAAAAAAAAAGAAAGAAGATTTTTTTCTTGTTTGTTTTATGAGTAACTTACACTTTTGCCGGGAAGTTTTAGTTTCTGTTGTACCCTTTGATGCAGTTAGTGAAACCGAGAAATGAAATTACTTGTTAATTACTCTTTCTGTAGCTGTCATTTTTTTTTATATTTTATTTTTCATTTTTTTCTTGTTTGTTTCATGAGAAACTAACACTTTTTCTTTCATTTTGTGTTATGTAGTTAGTCAAATCCAGAAACGTAATTACTTGTAGATTACTCTATTTATTACTTCGAGTAGAAAGCTCTTTTTGTCCTTTTTGTTTTGTAATTTAACTTTAGTGTAATTCTCTTAAGTTGTAGTGCTGTTCTTGTTTCAATTGAAGTTAAGTAGATGATAATTTTGTATGATTTTGATTATGGTTCATTTTATGGTATTGATTTGATAATGTTACTGGGTTTAGTTTAAAAGGGATACATATTGTGTTAAAATTACTGAAATTCATATCTGGTTCTATGTTTTATGTTACTTATGTGAAATTGAGTTAGAATACATAATTTCTTATCGTGTTGTGTTATTAATGTGATTTTGAGCTGCATTTTTTATTTTGTTACCAATTTTTAAGTTGAATAGTAGTGCTGTTCTACCTTACTGCAGGTAAGGTTATGCCCCCACCCTGTTTTGCCAGCCCTTGGATCATAGTCTGAGGGACCATGATCCAATGGTTGATAAAGCTGGGGTCATGTTTCCTGACAGTAAGTTATCAATTCCCTGAATAGTAATCTAATGTTCCATGTCACAAAGCTCTCCTTTGAGGAAAGACAGGAAAATGCCTCAGTTCCTTCACTCGAGCTAAATCGGATATTCTATTATCACTCCTCTAGTATACTTGCCACTTCCCTTGGTGGCTTACTCTTGGTCCAGGACCATACCTGAAGTCATTGTCCCTGTACTGTTAGTAGGATTTCTGACTATGATACTTGTTTGCCCAATTTGCTTTAACGTTTTCTGTGTTTATTTCATTTCATCAATTTGTTTTTCTTACTTCCATTTAGTTTACTGACTGTTCTGAATTCAAGTTTGAAAATCTAGAATCCACTAAAGTCATCATACAAAAGTGGGGTATGAATGAAACCCAATGCGTTTCAGCTGAAAGTTTCTTGTCTGTTAACTTCATTCCGTTAATAGTTCATGGCTTAAACTGTAGGTTTCCAAATACTTATTTGCTTGTTGGGTGCAATAATGATGAAGATACTCACAAATACAAGGGGAAAACTGTCATGACTGATGAGGAGCGGTACGAGTCACTTCGCCACTGCAGGTTGGTGTTTATGTGCTTGCTTTACTGACTAAGTTCAACTCAGCGAATTTTCATTTAAAGCGTCATAAAATTCCATGTTTCCTCTTCCTTTTGTAACACTCTGTTGGTCACCAAGGATGGAATGTACTTTTCCAAAATATGATTTCTACCCAAAGTCCATTGTAGTGCGTAGTGGGAAAACCTGAAGTTATGTTGCTTGAAGGCCTAGTTTCTATTGTACGTGATGCAGGTGGGTTGATGAAGTTATCCCTGATGCGCCCTGGGTGGTCACCCAAGAGTTTCTTGACAAACATCAGATTGACTACGTGGCACACGACTCTCTTCCGTAAGGTTACTCAGCCCAAGTAGTGTACTTTAAATTGTCATAGCATGTTATTTTAAAAGATCCCATGCTTTTGAAGTAATTCCAATGTTGACGGGGATACTTGATATGTTGAATTTCAGTTGATTGTGAAGAATTGCGAACTCTTTGATTTGGGATTATGGAAGCCACAGTAAAAACTATCCAACGTATTCTTGAAATAGCTTTATCTATTATTTTCATAGTGTTTTTTTTTTTTTAAATTCTGGATTATGGGTATATTGAAATTGAGTTGATGGTGCTGAAATGAGAAACCCTATTGGTTAGGGGCATCTGAACAATATCCAATTTGTTCTTCCAGTCTCTGAAATAGCTTTATCTTTTCTGTTCTTTGTATTTGTTTCTTAAGACTAACTGTTCAAAACCTTTCCGAGATCTCAATTTTCCTTTTCATCTTACTATTGTTTGCCTTTTTTTTTTTTTTTTTTTTTTTGTCTGATGTGACGATTTCTAATGGTGGAAATATAATTTTATCACCTACGTGGCTTTCCTCTCTTAATTTTGCATTTAGTGTCATTATTTTATTTTTATTTAAGATAATTATTGGCAATTATGTTTTGATTGTTACTTTTTACCTAAAAATTGTAGTTATGTTGATGCAAGTGGTGCTGGAAAGGACGTCTATGAATTTGTAAGTTTTGAGAGATGGCTGAATTGTGTGATCATTTGCTTTTACATACAATGCACAATTGTTGTTGTTTTTGATGATGGTGGGGGTGGGGGTGGGGGTGGGGGTGGGGGTGATGGGGGATATTGGGGTACTGGTTTGGTAACATTACTTGGTCATTACAACCCTTGTTTCTAGAATGGGCTCAGACATTTTGAAAACCTAATAAATAAAAATGGAAATGGAAACTGGGTTCTCTCACAGGGCCTGTTTTAAAGCATTGCCTCTTATTAAGTTAAAAGAATCTTTCCTTTTTATAGTTTATTGGACATAGTAGGGAGAAAGATCAATAAAGAACTCATAGAACAAATTGCCTTTAATGAGCCACAAACTATTTTCAGATACTTATCATTCAAGTCAAGTATTTTGAAACTATATAGAAATACATTTAGACTTGTTTCTTATTTGTCCTACTATGACTAGGATTTCTAGAACTCAGGGATATAGTTATATCTCACACTAGAACTTAAAAGGATACACTCTAAGTCCAAAAGACCGTTTTATCAACCCTGATTCATATGAAACCGAATGGACTCCTTACAACAAGAAACTAGAAATAAAAAGATACTAAAATTCTTATACAACTAATAAACTTAATTAAGACCAGATCAACAACAAAAAAGTCTCTAATAGCTATTAAGTTTTGGGTGGTTCAATGTAGTTCACTATGTAACATGAAATTTTTTATACAGGTGAAGTCTGTTGGGAAATTCAAGGAAACAAAACGGACTGATGGCATCTCTACATCAGACATTATAATGAGGATTGTTAAAGACTACAACCAATATGTGATGCGTAATTTGGACCGTGGATATACAAGAAAGGATTTAGGTGTTAGCTATGTTAAGGTATGCGCTGTTTATTATGCGACCCTGGTTTACTTCTTTCAAGCTTTGCCTGATTAAATTCTGCTTCTGTGAGAGAATTGATCTCTTTAATTCCTATTCGTTTCCATCAGGAAAAGCGGCTGAGAATGAATATGGGGCTTAAAAAGTTACAAGAGAAAGTTAAGAAACAACAAGAAAAAGTGGGAGAGAAGGTGTGTAAGCTATGCTGTTCTTTTAAAAATGTGGTCTATACTTCAGTTATAGCATTCTTTTGAAAATGTGGTATATACCTTTCTTGTTCACTCTTCTTTTTAAGATGTAATTGTTCAAAGAACTGCCTATTGAATTTCATACTCTCAGAACTGTGCTTAGAGAGTTGGAATCGGTTATAGTTAACTTAAAATAACATCAAAATGTTAGGTGAGCTTCTTGCTTTTTGAGAATCTGGCCTATAAGTTTAATTAAGTGATAATAGTCAAATATTTTGAAAAAAAAAAAGGGGGAAAGAAATGCAAAAGTTGTTTCAAAGAATTAAGCAGGAAAAAATTGATTAATTGAAATGTTATTGGTCCTCCTTATAGCAAAATTAGGATTCTGCCACTGTTCTACACCAGCCTACATGAAAATGAATAATAATTCATGTTTAAATGATTTTTTGGCATGCTACACTAGTTCCAGAATATATGGAGTTCAGTGTGGCCCTCTTTTATCTATTGGATTTCTTTTTTTTTAATCAAAATTAAATTACTTGTTCAAGCAGCAGGCAGATTCTTATGTTAGAGTACACAGGCTGACCTATTTAGGGTAGTAATATCTTAAATTATATTATGACAAAGTTGTTTATGTAAAGATATTAGAATCGAAAGTGTTTCTAAGTTCTGTAATCTGTGACGATTAGTATTGGCATTGAATGGTGTTTACTTTTTTGAGAAACTTGCATATGACTTGTATGAGTAGCATGTTTACTCTGATTTACATTACAGATACAAATTGTGGTGAAAACGGCTGGTATGCATCGCAATGAATGGGTAGAGAATGCTGACCGATTGGTTGCTGGATTTCTTGAGATGTTCGAAGAACGTTTCCATAAAATGGTTAATCTTTCTCTTGCCCCATGGCTCAACTAACTTTGCCATATTTCAACCTTACAGCCTATGCACATATAAATCAATAAATGATTCTCCTGTATACTGACTACATATGATGTGCTCTTGTTACTTAGGGAACGGCCATTAGAGATCGGATTCAAGAGCGATTAAGAGGGCAGCAGTTAATTGGGTTCATATGTGACAGAGATGATGAAGATGATGCATACTACTACAATGACAGTGATGAAGAAGAAGAAAAATTATGACGAAGAAGGTGACTTCATAAAAACTTGAAAAATTCTCGAAGTGTTGCATCTTTACCAAGTCTTTAGTAATATTTTTATATGCAGTGCTAATGGTTTTTAGCATTGCATATTATACAATAAGTAAAATATTTCAACAGAACCATGTAGTAAAACATGCTGAAGCCAACTAGTTTGTTTATCATAACTCACACGTGCGTCAAACCTTAAATCTCCATAACTGTCCCATACTCTTCTAGAGTTTGCATCTTCTTCCCCAAACAGTGGCTACTTGAATCCACATGAAAATATTCTATAGAACTGATTCATGGCATCCGACTAATGAAAGAGCGTGCATTGGCGTAGATTCATGACCATTCATCTGGCTGAGTTGGGAATCAACTTGGCACCAGGTCATACCATAGATAAGAAAAAATGAAAACAAAGCATATCTTTAACAAAGACCTCACTAAATTATCTTTGTTAGAATGGTATTAATGAGTTAGTGCATTTGAATTTGTGTGTCTTGGAATCAGTGATAAGATCAGAATATCCTGTGAGTTTTAGATTCCATATTATTCAAGGTCTAGTCCCTCTTTCATTCCTCCATTGAAAATGTTCCCACCAAGTTGGCCAAAACCATGTCTCAATTGGTGCCTACTGTGGTGCCACGCGTCCCATTTTTTTTTTATTAATTCTTCTTGAATATCAAAATCTCTCAATGGCATGAATTGACTCTTTCCCTATCACATGTTATAACAATTTAGTTGTCTGTTGGATGTCAATTTCATATCTCAATCATTGATATACTTTGCTAAAGAATACTTTTTCGCATCCAATGAGCACATGGAATTTCAGGTACTTTGATATTAAAGAGAGGATCGAAAGTTCATATTACAAAATACTTGAAAGTTTTATCAACATGACTCATGCTTTCTTGTATTTAGAATCATATTTTGGGTATATTGATATGGTAAATCTCACCACATATGCATAAAAATCACCTATCTCGATAGTAGTTTGGAGAAGTAAAGAAAATATGTATACAAATTGTTATTAGACAAACGTACAGATAATTGATACATGGTTTTATGCATTATATTGATGTTGGAACTTTATATATGTTGTCTTCTAGCCTATAGAACATATGGGAATTCCATTGGTGAAATTGCAATATGTCCTTTAAAAGGGTAGTGGTGGTTGCTTTCATGATCATGGCATAACTTGGTAGCAAATTGTACAATCAAAGCTTTATAGCATCCCACTTACTCTCTGGCCATAGCAATCAATGTTTATATCTCTGGAGTCAATTGCAAGCTCAAGTTCAAAGTAGTTGTTTAAGACCTAAGAGAAAATGAAGGTGCCATCTTTTAGATAGTGACACCCACCTTCCTTTGCTTGCTAATCTCTTGTTGATTCTAGATTGATCTCGAAGTTGACAGTTTGGAAAATGTTAACCCTATATGACAATGCTTTTTTCAGGAGTTTTTTGGTGTAGGATGCATTGATATCATAAAATTTTTTTTTTTTTTTTTTTTGTGTTCTTAAAATGAATAGGAGAATTTCTCAACGTTTTGTTTAAGTTATAATCAAAACTAACGGGAAATCATTACAAATATTGTTTATTTTACCTACCCATGAGTAACCCAACGGTAAGGGCGAACAAGGTTATGCATGGCTTCAATCCGTAGTCCCATATTCGTTTTCTTGTTGGGTACAAAAGTAGTATTTTTGCTTATGATTTATTTAGGAGGGGTACGGTGGTGAGTTGATGTGAGATAACTTTTCTTGAGTATTAGTTAAAGTGTGCATAAGTTGGCTAAATCACCTCAAGTAACAAAAAAAAAAAAAAATTGTTTTTTTTTTCCTATTTGAAATGATACCATTACTAGTCTATCTTAAATTATTGTACCATTTTGCTGGATTTTAAATTATCATATACTATTATAAATTTTAATCTAAAAGTTACTTTTGATATAAGGATAATATATCATTAACTTTTACTAATTAGATAAAGTAGCTAATCTCATAAAATGAACTTGCATTTGAAATTCATTGTTGAATTTTTGGAAACAATTTTTAATTGTTGAAGGGTTGACACTTCATAAAAAAAAAAATCTCTGCTATTCACTCATAAAATTTGAATCCACATCATACTTGATAATGAATAAAACCATCCATCACTAAGTCAAAACTTTTATCAATTAATTAAGATAATCCACTACAAAGGAGAAAAAGTAAAACATTGTTACTAATTGAAACACGTAAAAGCTACATAATCATAAGCTAGAACTCCTCTAATAACTTCTTTCTAAGATTTGATTCCATTCATCTATTTTTGTAGTTTTAAATTATCTCTCATCACCCATTAAATCTCTATCAATTAATCCTTCAATTTAATAGAGGGAAAAACTTTTATGTAACATACATCTTCATTAACTGGTTGTATATGCATCTATTACAGTTTGATACTTATATGCATCTATTACACTTTGATGGTATCAGAAGTAGAAGATGATTTAAAAAAAAAAAAAAAAAAAAAAAAAAAAAAATTCAGACTTTTGACCAAACCTCGAGAAAAAGTTATGATAATACATACATAATCCTATATAAAACATACTAATTAGGTTGTAGTTAATACTAAATTAAAAGACTAATTGTTCACTAATGTGTGACAACAATTTGATCTAAGGAATGGAAAGAGTGATTGGAATTCTTAAGCCTGTGCCTGCAAGTAGGGCAAGAAGAGTGAGAGAGAAGCCACTTATCAATACATGGAACGTGGAAACGATGGTTGCATTTGGGAAGAACCCTAATTTTATCTCCATCAATGAAGTCCACAAGACAAATAGCACAAGTTCCTGAAGCTGATGATGATGATGGTGAATTATCTGAAGAATTATTGACAAAAGTTGAAGTGGGCAAAGCCACAACTTCTTTCTTTTTAAGCCCTGAGTTTTGTCTCCGAGAAACAAGCCATTGTCTTGGCTCGGTGACGACTCTGTATGTGCATTGAAACACACATTGGAGGGTGGAGTTGAGGCCTAGAGCACACACTAGAGCACAAAGCATGGCAACCATGATCACCGTGACATTGAAATCAATGGTGGAGGATTGTTGTTGCTGAGATTGATGACTGTGATCATGACAATTTGGAGAAGGAGATGGTGAAAGATCAGCCATGGAGAAAGAGAGATGGATATTTGAGAGAAAGTGTGGGAAATATTGAAGGATGAGTAAGCAAGAGAGAAAAAGAGATCATAATACAAACAAAGAAACATGAGGGCTATGAGCTATAAATAAACATTAGCGAATTTTCCGTACAAGCCAACTCATACAAACCGATATAGTGGTTAGCAATCCAATGCATAAATTCTTATGAATTTATATATTGTTAAAAGCTAAAAATTTACAATTGTAATAATCTGTAATTGTTTGAGCTCAACCAAGTAAATATTGTGTGCTTGGATTTGTTAATTAATTAGAGACTCGAGACTTATAAACTAGTTTATACCATTGGAAATGTTATCTTTTCAATGCAAAAATATGCGTCGGAAAACAAAAATCTTATGTTTTGAAAAAAGACTTCTGGCACAAAAGCATTTGTTAGAAAATCGTCAAGCCAGTCCTGTTTGGGAAAACGTATGTTTGTTCAATAAAAGCATCGACATAACCTATGTGGTGCAAGACGCATTCAAAATTTTTTTTATGTCGGAAATGTTTTCCTCTTCGTCTACTCAAGTAGATACTGCTTGTTATATATTTTCGCAAGCCTGATATTGAAATTGAAGCCTTTGCCAAACCTATAATATTTGAGAAGCAATAAACAATGGTCTTTGTTCATACAGATACCTATGAGAAGGCTTAAACCCCAAACTTTGTAGGAGCAAACCACAAACCTGACCATCCCACTAAGCGTTTATGGGATTATATTGTGAGAAATATAATATAGTTATAAACTACCTATGATTAGCAATATGGTGAAATGAAATGGAGGCTAGCTACGGGATATGCTTACATGATAATCCACTGTCTTTCTGCCTTTCATTTATGCGCTTCAAAGGGAGAAAAAAGCATCTCTTTCTCCAGGATTTTTGTCATTTTCTATTGGTTAGTTTCATCAAGTTGGTACAGTCATCAAGTTTTTTTGACAAAGTAAATTCTAGCTAGACCATTAATTTTCAATGAGGATGACTGTCACCAGATTTTGTTTCTGCCACTAATAATTCTTTGCTTGCTTTTTTTTATATGATAAATCATTTGTACTCCATGTCTCCAACAAAAGAATCTACATACGTGTAATGATAGATAATAGTGTGTTTTATAAACATACGTCATTAAATGGTGAATTATACATATTATATAAAATGAAGCATTAAAGCTTTTAAATATAATCAAGCTCAAAGTGGGGGATATACAATGTTTATTATTATTATTATTATTATTATTATTATTTTTTTTTTTTTTGGTTTGGTAACCTAAGTATCTGAATCAATTTACGTACACCTCAACTAATCTCTAAGATCTATTAAACATCCTACAAGCCCAATAAGTCAAATAAATCACAAATGTTATAAATCATTATTTTGTGTGATTCGAACAAAAAGACATCTAGATAATTTATAGCTTTATCATCTAGTCACAGGCAAGTGATAGGGGATGTACGGTGTTTGCTCTAGCCTTTTTGCGTTGTGGATGTTCCACTTCAAAATCTCACTTTATTTAGACTTTTTTTTATCATTGGATTGGGCCTATATGTTGGAACTTAGGCTTTTAGGCTCTAATAAATTTCATGTCCAAGTAAAATCACTAAAGTTGCTCATTCAACTTTATGTTATGTTTCAAGTAGATCTTAATATTTCAGGCTCTAATATTTTGCATTTAATGAAATGCTGAAGATGGTGGTGGGGGTCAACAACTTCAAGAATATCACTTTCTTTGTGGGTGAATTAATTTGAAATCTCATCACTTGATTTAACACAAACACTTGTTTATATTTCATTAGATTGGGCCTATATGATGGAACTAGCTAGAGTTTTTCGCTCTAATTTCATGTCAAGTATAGGAGCAAAAATCATCATATATTGAATTCAGAGAGTTATCATATTTTTCGATCAGGGTAACATTATCTTTTAAACAATCAGATCTCTTTCATATAGGTTTCGCCCATAAATTTAAAATTAATTTATATACTATTTATGAGAAAAAAAAAAATATATATATGTATATATATTTATTGTATCTTTCTTTCACCAAATTCACTATCTTAATACAGTTGATTTTAAGCATTTTTTTTACCATCAAAACTCTAAAGTATCCAAAGAAGTTTGGAAAAGACTTAAGAAATCTGGTGCAACATTGTGCAAATAAGCAAGACATAATGCCTTTTTTTTTTTTTGTTTTTCACATATTTTTATTTATTTTTCATTAAAAGCTAAATAAAATATGGTCCTTATCCATCCCCATGAAAAGAAAAATATTTTCTTATCTTTGCCTTGTAAGCTTTATGGCAGCTTTATTCTCAGGTCAAAAACAATTGTCTTCGTAATTTCTTGGGTTGGATTTGATAAGATAGATGAAATGATCCTTTGGTCAAAAAGTGATTGATGGAGCAGAAGTCCTATCTTCCCTAAACATATCACCATCATGCAGAATTAATTAATTATTAGTAATTTTTTTCTCTTAAATTATTCAATTCTTCTTAAATAAAATGAAATTAATTAATTATTAATAAAATGTTAATTAATATGTATCTAACACGAAATAAATTGTGATTTTGAGTTAATTTCAAATTTCTTTTCCTTCTTGTCGTAGTTGAAAAAAAAAACAAGAAATATAATTGGATTGTCAAAAAAGATGACACTAATTTCTAAGCCTCTCTCCTTCACTTTACAAGATTTCTCGGGTCAAGATAATGACAATTCCCCGTGCCATGTAGTTTTCCAAAGTTGTCTATTTGTGTCTTAATTATCACTTTCTTGGTTTTAATGGTTTTAGAGCTTAGAATTTGTTTCACATCATCCAATAGATGGCCTGTTATGAAATATATATGTATGACTAAGCTTCTCCTCTTTTTGAGTTAGTTTTTTAAAGGGAGTTTTACCCAAACTCATTTATAATGTATGAGAATTATAAGTGCATATCGTCAAATTAGAAGCGGCTTCTACTTGTTTGTTTGGGGCTGTGATTGGGTTAGACCAATTGGAAGTGGTTTTTACCCGTTTGTTTGGGGCCATGATTGGGTTTGAACTAGTTGGAAGTGGCTTGACCCACTTGTTTGGGGCAATGATTGAGTTTAGACCAGTTGGAAGTGGCTTTTGCCTATTTATTCGGGACAATGATTTAGTTTGGACCCAAGGTTTATCGAAACAATAAGTTGATATCTAAAAGGTTTTAAAACGACAAATAGGTATCTTCTATCATGTTTTGTTAGTAATTTTCGTTTGATAATAGTGAAAAGACTAAAATACTATTGAAAGTTTAATATTTTAGTTTTTTATAAATTTAAAAATTTTAAAAAACCTCATAAGTTTGCTAATTTGACTAAATACCCCAATATATAAAAATTTTATAAAATAACAAAAACACCCCTGCCACCTGCAGTGCCAGATTCCGGCCACCAGCACAGGAATCTGGTCGGAAAAATTGCGCTACGACACAGACCCATCAGATCTGTGTCGTAACACGTAGATCTGGTATTTTCTAGTAAGATCTGGCCAGAAAAGGCCAGATCTACGACCAGATCTGGCCGTCGAGGCTGGAATCTCACCGAAAAATCGTGTTATGACACAAACCATTCGGATCTGTGTCGTAACACGTCAATATGGCATTTTCCGGCCAGATCTGGCTGTCGAGGCCGAAAAAGGCCAGACGTAGATCTGGCTGGAAAAGGACATATCGATGTGTTACGACACAAATCTGACAGGTTTGTGTCATAACACAATTTTTCGGCCAGATTTCGGCGGTGGTGGCAAGAATCTGGCACTGCGGGTGGTAGGGGGTGTTTTTGTTATTTTATAAAATTTTTATATATTGGGGTTTTTAGTCAAATTAGTAAATTTAGGGGGGTTTTTTAAAAATTTTTAAATTTATAAAAAAACTAAAATATTAAACTTTTAAGGGCATTTTAGTCTTTTCACTATTATCAAACGAAAATCACTAATAAAACATGACAGAAGGTACCTATTTATCGTTTTAAAACCTTTTGAATACTAACTGGTCGTTTCCATAAATGTAAGTCATTCTCTCATTTATTTGGGACAATGATTTGATTTTGGACCCGTGTCTTACACACTGAGCCTTAGGGCACATCACTAAAACTGAAAGTGACTTCTAGTTAAGCATTTATTAAGTTTGTTAATATATCACTTAACATAATATATATATCTTAAAAATTCAGTATATGATAAATGATTTACAAATATAAAAATCATAGTGGATTATTGGTTATTCGGTTTGTAAGTTAAAATTAAAAAACATTCTCTTTTTTATTTTTAATTTTGATTATGAACATCTCTAATTTATTTAACATTTTGACCTAGATTCAAGAAATTTAGTAAAAGATATAAAACTATCAAATTAGATCAAGAATCTTAAAAAAAAAAAAAAAAAAAAAAAAAAAATCATTTCTTACGGATGTGACATTATATTTTTATTTATTAAATATTCTTCTTTATTGTAAAAGAAATGGACCATCATAGAACACATCAAATAACTAAGATTTAAAAAAAAAAAAAAAAAAAGTGATAAAATGTGAAGGCTGACTCATAACAAGGAAACAACAACTTTATTAAAAGTAATGCAATCTTTATTAATTTATTTTTCCGCTTAACATTAAAAAAAATACTCTCTCGCACCATGTTATTCTGATCAACAGCCCACGCAACCACCCCATTAACAGCCTTATCCATTTCCACAACCACCACATTACTAGAAATATTTGTCACAGCATGTGTCACAAACCCTGGACCACCCTCCCATGTAAATGAATACTGAAAATGACAGATCTTGTTAGGGAACAACAAAATTGAAGAGAAATCAGCCACCCTTCGTCCCATTTCCGGTGACCGACATTTTCCCAACCGTCGACTTTACTTCATCCGTTCACATTGTTCCGGTCGATCACCACTTGGTTAATGCTGCTAAACCCTCCATCCATTTCACAATTGGAACATTTTTACTAGGGCTGCCATTGAACATATTGTCCACAATATTTAGCCCCGAAATTCTACCCTTAATTGATTTTAAAACAACGTTTGCATCCCCTAAGAAAAGTCCATTT